TTGGTGTCAATTAATATGCTCCTCTTTTAGTTATGGATGTAGGTCAAGATGATTGAATCACATTAAATCTGAAACATTAAGGTGAATTTTGAATATGTTAAATCATTGAACCAACTCTAATTTTGTGTTCAAGCGATTTTATATATATCCTACCTCTGTTTTACTTAATAGATGCACAATTATAAAAAAAAATAAACTACACACAGCCCCTTCATCTTTTCCCTTGTCAATAGAACAATGCAACCAAATTAAAATTCATTCAAGTGAGATTCTTATAAAAGAAAGAAAAAAAAAATACAACAAAGTAAACATAATTAAAAATCTAAATTAACATAACATTACTTCTATCATCTTGAGAAATAAGAAAAAATCTTTGTATTATTTTTTGCCCTTGCCAAAATCTAAAAGGGAAATTAAACTATTTCTCTTATTAACTGTGATGCATGGGATACTTGATAACAAATGTGGACAGTTTCACATGCTCCCTGAGGGAGCAAAGGTGAATTCAAGATTGTGCTCATGATGAAGATTCTCATCAATTTTATTAGGATGTTCTAGGTTATCCTCATTTGATGTCGGAAAATTAAGTTTGGTATTAGGGCCGCGATACATGCTTGCCGTATTATCATATGCTCCTGCTTCTTCTTTCGTATTAAGGATTCTAACATGACACGTACCTTTTTGACAGGATTTGTAATATCAGTTTCGTACTTCCCCTTTGGCCTCTTTCTCACACCCGTATATCGGACCTCAATTAGGGTTACAACTGTCGTCAAATTGACTATCCCGACATACATGGAAACCAAATCTTTTAAGAGAGTTAAACAATGAAATCTAAAATCACGATAAAACTTCGGTTAGAAAATGTGATATCTCCAAAATAAATATTCAATGGCTAATGTTTTTACAATAAGTTAGTTGTAACATCTCGCAATTTGAAATAACTAGGAAGAAGCTAATAATTGGAAAGTCATTTTTGGAAAGAATGAAAATCTGAAAATTTTGTTAAGGTAGAATAAGTTGAGTTTTGGCAAACTTCAAATAGCCATAACTTCTAGATCAGTATGAGTTAGAGGTACTTCTAGATATGGTAGGAAAGGTCTTGGAATGATCTTTCCAACGCCGCTGAGTTTGCACGATTCTGAGTTTGTATGAGTGATTTATGACCTTTGGAAGTTGGGTTGTTGTAATAAGGAAAGCAAATCCGGATTTTTAAAGGGTAGTTTGGTCTTTTCCTTGCCAAACTATTTTATTTCGTTTTTTGTAATTAAGTTAGGGTCTAATCAGAATTAGATTAGTTTACGCTTTTACCAAAATACGCTAGGGCTTGGAGAAAAGAGAAAAGAAGAGGAAAAAGGAGAAGAGAAGCAAGAATCGTCAAGATCGTCGAGTTTAACTTGTGGATTTCGTCGGGGGTGATCCCTACAAGGTCTGTGAGATCACATAGCATTGGGTTAGTTCACCCACGCGCCCAACTTGATTCAATTTCAGCAAAGTATATTAATTTGAAAGTAAATCCCTTGAATTCTTGATGAAGTTCGTTTGAATCCTTGTGGGTTATGTTGTTGGAGTTTTCTTGAGATTGATTCACGTTTTTAGTTGCGTTTTCGAGTAGAATCTGATGTTATCTGAGGGTATAAATGATTCTAAGTGTTTGGAGAAAGAACCAATGGAGTTTAGAGGGTTTAGAGCTGGAAAACGAAGAAGGAATTTTCGTCGGGAAAATTTGGGCAGTGCCTCCGCCTCGCGGACCTACTCCCCATATTTGGGAAAAAATCATTTTGCATTGCGGAGCGGTCACGGACCGTTCTGCCTCAAAATTCGTTTTCGAACCAAAAATTTAAATACTTCTCCGCGTCGCAAACCCACCCTCAAACAGTGATTTCTTGATATTTTCTCATGTTTAGCTATCTAAAATCATTCCTAAACATCATGAGATCTTTCCTATCACAAATCACAAATCGTTGAATCCATAATTCAATTCAAGGAAAGTTAAGAGTCAAGTTAGAAGTTGAGAAGCAAGTCAAGAGAAGTTCTTTAAAGTTTTCAAAAAGTCTTTTCCAAATGTTTTAATTTTGTTTTAAGACTTAAAGTTCAAGTTGAGTAAAGATTAAAGAGTAAAGTTTGAAGTTCATTTCTTCAAAAATATAGTGGGGACTATGTATTCCCAAAGGGTTTAAAAATGCTTTCACATTTAAACAAGAAAGGAAAACCTCGATTTCCAAAGAGCCTTCGGACTAGTTTTCAGAAAAGAGTAATCGCTTTCTAAATGAAGCAAGAGAGGAAACTTTGATTTCCAAGATAGCCTTTGAACTATGTTTTTGAGCACTAATCTCAAATAACAGAAATAAGTCTGTTTTAAATATAAGAGCTAATATTGTATTTTTGGGAGTAGTATTGAGTATTGATATGAGGGAGAGTTCAGACAACTCACAGCCTCCATAAACCATGCCTCCATCATGGGTAGAAAAGGGTCATACTTTTTAGATGATTCCTTCAGTGCTTTTTAATATAGACTAGTGTATCCACTTAGTAGTTCAGGTTCTATACCCCCCGACAAGGTATAAGATGGCCCTGGCAGCGTGAGGCAAAACGTTGTATCATCACAATAGCTCTTACATGATGATTGTCGGTTAGAGAAACTCCCACACAAGTAATTGTATTCTTATATACACAGTTTATTGTATTTTTACATACATTTCAGAGTTATATGTATCTTTGCATACATACAGAGTTGACATCATGCTTTAAGCAACTTTTTTTATATTGCAATTGTTTTAAACTGCTTTATATTGAAATGAGTTCAGTTATGTTGAGTTGAGTTGAGCCATGTAAGTTCTTCAGATTCTTTTCAAGCCTATGTTGTGTTTAGCATTCCAATTCGCATACGTGTACATTCAATGTACTGATGTCAGTTGGTCTGCATCTTATTATGATGCAGACACAGGTAACTAGGATCGACATCCGACGCATTGTTGATCTAGTGAGCACTCCAGAGTCAGTTGGTGAGCCTTCTTGCATTTCAGAAGACTCCTTTTATTGATTTCAGTTACTTTTCATTAGGATGTCGTGGGGTTTGTCCCAACATCCGTCTCAGTTATTTTAGAGACTTCATAGACAGTCAGACGTTAGTTCTTTAGTCTTTTCATTGACTTTATCATTTCATATGTTAAGACTTGAGTTGTCATTTTGGCCAAGTTGAATGTTTGACTTTTAAGCATTCTCATTATTTTATTATTCAAGTGAGTATAGTGTTTTTGATCATTATAAATATGCATAGTCTTCCGCTAAGTTAAGTAAACCAGGCCAAGGGTTCGCTTGGGGCCAACAATGGTTCCCGAGTGCCAGCCATGTCCGGAGGGTAGTCTCGGGGCATGACATTAGTCAATCAACTAATTAAGACTATATATGTAATTTTTATGAGTTGTGTAATGAAAACATAGCAGTTTGTTTAGACCTTGATAGGAAACCACTTTGTCGTGGTTCGAATACTGATATGAATATTCATGAACGTAGAAAAAATTCATTATACAATGAACAAGACATAATTAAGTTTCCTGTATTTTTTTGTTCTTCTAAAAAACAAAAAATGGAAATGAAACTGTTTCTTCTAATAACTGCAATCGATACTTGATGTGCTATACAATTTCATTATTCCCTAGCAGAGCGAGGGTGAGTTCAAGATTGAGCTTATCATTATCTAGGTTATTCTCATTTGATTACGGAAAATTGAGTTTGGATTTAGGGTCGCCATACATCCTTGCCACATTATCATAAGCTCTTGCAGGTTCTTCTTTTGTGTCAAAGGTACCAAGTCAACATCCTTGCCACATTATCATAAGCTCTTGCAGGTTCTTCTTTTGTGTCAAAGGTACCAAGTCAGACACACACCTTTTGGTTTGTAATTACAGTTCTGTACTTCCTAGTTGGCCTCTTTCTCACACCCTTATATTGATCCTCAGTTGGGGTTACTGCAACTACAATGCAATTTTCTCTCTTTGCAATCTGAGAATATAAAAGGAATTTAATCTAAAATTACAGAAGGAATATTTTGTGTATAAAGAAGACTTAGTGAGTGAAAAAGAAAGAGGGAGATTGATTTATATAGTCGTTTTTCAGAGGGATGTTTTCGTAAAATACTTTGTACATATAAGTAGCTTGAAAATGAAAAAAAATTGACTTTTCTAAACAAAATAGTAGAAATAATAAATCTCATTCCAAGTTCATTACTCGTTAGGCTACATTTATATATTTTGGGGTGACATTTTTAAATTTATTTGCCAAATAAAAAGTAGGTAAGTAAGTACTAAATTAACTTATTTTCCAAAACAAACAAACATAAAATTCATCATTTGAACCAAATACACTCTTAGTTAAGCAATATTTTTATATTTTATTCTGATAAGTGTGAATGATCATATATTCACATTTAATTTTTTTTTAATCTTTTAATACATGATTGACATTATAGAATTGCATGTTTTATTATCTTTTTCTATTTTTCCAACCAGATGCCCACCCATCCTCAACAAGTAAAGGGAAGTAAATATCCTTATCCCAACATATAGGTAAACCAATTTTTTTAAGAGAGTTAAATAATGAAACCTTCAAATCACAATAAAACTTTTGTTAGAAAATGTGATATCTCCAAAATTTATATTCAATGGCTAATATATTTTTACATTTGTCAATCAACTAATTAGGACTATATATGTACTTTTATAAGTTGTGCAATGAAAACTTTGCAGCTTGTCGAGACCAATTGATAGGAAATTACTTTGTCGTTGTTCGAGTAGTGATGATATAATAGTTAGAATAAATTGAAATGGAAAAATAAATAAAAGGGATATACCATTGTAGTAGTACTACTAAATAATAGTGCAACACTACTAATTTGGTACTGATATGAATAATCATGAAATATAAAAAAAATTCATCATGTAATAGATAATATGTTATAAATTGAATACAATCAAAACAAAATTTACTTTCAAGAGTCTTTACCCGTAAACATTTAAAAGTTCAAGAATAATATCATTAATTAACATAGCGTGGACACCACCACCACAACCACCACCATCAGAGTATCTACCACCTCCGATGCCGTCCCTTTCACTTTGGGTACAATTCCTATTAAAGGGACCAAACTTGTCACACTGAAAACAACCGCTTCCTCCACCACCTCTTTCACCGCCATAACCGCTGCCTCTAACGTATCCACCTTTATAGCCACGGTTTCCACCACTGTATCCATGGCTATCACCTTGGTCACCACCGTAGCCACCATAACCACCATCTCCGCCACCTCCAGTACCACCGCGGTCACCAGATCCTCAACATACAAGTGCTCCATCAGGCCCAGTGACATAAACAACCTTGGTAAGACTATCAATGTTAGACTCAATCTCGTATTTGACAGCCTCACCATCAGTCAGGCTCTGAAAACTTCCAGATCTGATTTCGGATTAATGAACAACGAGATTGTTAGAGTCATCATCACTGAATCGTCAACGATGGCTCTAATGATCTATTTGTTCATCAATCCGGAATAGATCTGAATGTTTTCATAGCCTAACTGATGGTGAGGCTGTCGAGTACAAGATTGACTCCGGGAATGATGGTTGTACCAAGGTTGTTAATGTTACTGGGCCTAATAGAGCACCGGTCTCTTGAGGATCTGGTGGCCGCAGTAGCGGAGGTGGCCAAGATGGTGGCTACGGTGGTGGCCGAGGTGGTATCCGTGGATACAATGATATAGACAGTGGCTATTGAGGTGGATACGGTGGAGGCGGCGGTTATGATGGCGGAAGAGGTGGTGGAGGAAGAAATGAGTGTTTTTAGTGTGGCGAGTTTGGCCACTTTGCTAGGGAGTGTATCCAAAGTGGAGGTGAGGGCGGTGATGGTGGACGTTGTGGTGGTGGCCACGCTAGATTAATTTGTATTAAGAGAAGACTCAGTGAGTGAGAAAAAAAAGAGAAAGAGTACTTTATATAGCGATTTCTCAAAGGGATACATTTAATTTGGTCAACTAATTATTAAATATATTTGAAAAAAATAATTATTGAATTATTGACTAACAATATATATAGTCAATACTTTTACTAGTTTGCTAAAAACTAAGATTACATAAATTTTGACTAGGAAAATTCTCTTAAGGTCCACTAAGTTTACTTATCAAAAAGAATGTTTTCATTAATTATAAGCTCATAATCAGTAAACAATACTTAAAGGTAAGTGAATCACTAAAAAGGAAAGGGAATCCATTACTTCCTACAATTTGAATAATTTTCTTCCTACTAATACGTGATAGTCCTTTTTAATCATTCGCTATATATATTGAGGCTGGTTCGTCAAATAAAACTTTTCATCATTTATATCATTAATCCCAATTGAATCAGCGTCATTTAGCACTTCGTACCATGTAATATCGTAATTTCTCTCGACGATAACGATAGATTTGTTTATATTTTTAATTGTTGTTAATAGAAGGAACAAAACTATTCTCTTTGCTTAATTAAAGGTTAAATGGGGAATCGAATACCACAAGGACTAAAATCATAATAGGACCATATCATATGGACGAAAACAATTATTTTCCCTATTTATAATTATCATATCAAGAAGACGAGTTTAATTAGGCATTACAGGAATATTAACAAACATGTCTTACATTGCTTAGGAATCAAAGACGAGATTAAGGGAAATAGATGAAAAAATGTCTATTAAAAGTGGATGTATTGAGCAATTAAGCAATATTTTTTCTTTTGTGAATATAATAATCAGTAATTGACTAATCAACCTATATATCAACACATGCTTACCATTAGTACCAATGGTACGTAGTGTAATTGTACTAATGTTTGCAATCAACCTAATAAGTCATGAGATTAAATAAAGAATAAAATTTCCAATCCCTTTCAATTCACTCAAGTCTATATCACAGAAGACATTAATTCATCAAATAAATAGTTGCTTCAAAATTCAATAATAAATCTCATCTATGCACATCATAAAAGTTACTTCCTCTATTCAATTTTATGTGAGTTAAGCTAACTGTTATTGTTTAGGGTCAATTAATTTTTCTTTTTCTGTATACAATTTTCTCAAATATTTAAAAGAATATTTTGAATCATAATTAACTATGATTATTTGTATTTTTTTTTTTTGTATAGTTTTAAAATACATAAATTTTATTTTAAATTTTTAAAAAATAATTAACTACTTAGATTTTATCACATTATTCATTCACAAAACACACACTTTTCATGAGAATTCAAGAAAACACTTGAGTACTTAGTATAGTATGACAAAATTAAGCCCATGTACTCTACGTGTTACTTCCTTATGTCTTTTCCGTTTCCAATCGAACAACCAAACAAAAATTCATCCAACAGAAATAGAAATTTCTAAATTCATATTACATGAGATCATACACAAGAAATGATTACAACATGCCAAATTTTTACTCTCAAAAATAAAAAATACAGAGTGCATCGCTATTTGTTTTACATGCTACCTGGCGGTGCAAGAGTGAGCTCAAGATTGAGAGGCTCGGTATTGTTAGCATCGATGATCTCTGGGTCCGGAAGTATCACTCCTTCTCTCATTAAAGCCTCTAATAAGCTTCTATCTCGCACCATTGACATCATAACAGAAGCTCCAGTAATCGTTGTAAAACGACGAAACTCCTGATCAGAACTCTGATTTGGCATCAAAGAAGATGATGCAGAAGTACTGTTGTTGGCATAATTGATCATGACATCCTTACGATTAAGCTTTTGAAGATAATTTTTGGTTCTTTTGACGTCATTATGATTAGTTATTGGAGGAAAATTAATGACTGTCCGTGGGCCGAGATGCTGTCGGGCAGCTGCATCATAAGCCCTAGCAGCTGATAACTTTGATCTCAGCTATGTAGCTCCCTGTAGGAACCTTCCTCACACCCTTATAACGCATTTCACCTGAAGGAACTGTCACGTTGATATTATTGTTTTGTACCATCTTAAAAATAAAAAGAGCAAAGAATAAATAGAAAGGAGTGAGTTAAAGTGAGTTATATAGATGTCTCTCAAGAAATTGTTTTTGTGAAAAGAAAAATGAGTGAACAGAGAAGAAAGGGGGGAGTGCTCTGTGTATAGAGGTCTCTCAAGATTTTTTTATTTTATTTTATTTTTTTGTGAAGAGAAGAATGAGTGAACAAAGAAGGAAGAAGGAGAGTGATTTGTATAGACACTTCTCAAGGATTATTTTTTTTTGTGAATAGAGAAGGAAAAGGAGGAGTGGTTTATATAGATGATTTTCAAGGGATTTGTGAGTTGTTTTGAAAAACAACTTCTAAAACAAGAGGCATTTTTATCTTACGTGGAGAGTGGTAAAAATATATTTGTATCTTTCTACTCTTGTGAAACTGTGTGTTCAATTATCTTCTTCTATTTTATAACGGGCCACGTCCCACCCCCTCAGAAAAAAATTAATTTTTTTTCCTTTGGCTATCTAATTCGTCCCTTTATTCTTCAAAAATGATTTAAATAGTCTTAAATTTAGTATATACAATTAAATAAAAATATCTCTCTTCAATAGTTTGATTCAAAAATATTTTTACATTTTGTAGTTGATAGGTTAAAAGCAAGGTTTTGTTGATTTAATATTTTTCAGAAATAGAATGTTTAGTTTATGCGTAAGTAGACTACGTATTATATGTACACGAAATATATAACCGTTCATTTAGTTGGTGCCGTAAATTACATATTATATACGATAAATATAATTGTTGTTTTAGTTTAACAAAAAGTATTATGTCATTTTGCGTTGTTATTATATAATCAATAGACTATATACGTCACGACCCAAATCTACACCCTGGACGTGGCCAGCACTTAAGAACATTGCCGGTCCCCAAGCGAACCCTCATCCTGGCTAACTACAAGCGAAAGACTAACTTAAGCATGCAAAAGCTTAAAACTGAATAAAATTCAATAAACTCAACTTTTCAAAACTTTAACTCAAATGAACAACTTATTAGAGTAAAAATAATATATTCAACTCGTCATAAAATAGGCATTTAAGTCTTTAAAACATTTAATAAAATAAATGAATAATACAGACTTCTCAACTATACTGACTATCTATGAAGCCTCTAACTGATAAAGATGAAAGTCGGGACAAGACCCACGACATTCTGACTAAACTGAAAAGTAAATGAAATCCTCCGGAAAATAAGGAGGCTCACCATAGTTAACTCGAACTCTCGGATATATCAACGAATCTCTTGCTGATGATCCTGAATACCTGTGTTTGCATCATGAAAAGATGCAGCCCAAATTGCTCAGTACGTGGAATGCACGAGCATGTAAGGAGAATTCTAAAACATAAACATAAGCTTGAAACTTGATAAAAAGGAAACATACTTACCTCTTCTCAAACTAACTAAACTCAAGGAATACTCAAGGATACTCAAAACTACTCAACTTACTCAACTCAGAAGTACTCAAGGATAAGATACTCAACTCAGAAATTAGATACTCAACTCAAAGATATAATATTCGACTCTGGGTACTCAACTCAATATAAAGCAACAATACACATGCAATATATGGAAAGCTTTATAAAACAGTAAAAACAACTCAGTTCGTTAAAGAAAATGCAATAACAAACTCAACTTTACTTATATAATAAAGTAATATAGTTTCTGTGGGAGATTCTCTAACCGACAACCGTCACTATGAGCCTAAGTGGTGATACATCATTCTTACCATCACACTGCCAGACTGTCATATACTTTGCCGTCATATAGAACTACTTAACTTAGTGGATCCACTAGCTTAACTTATGTGATCATCTAAAAAGTAAGACCCATTAATACTTATGATGGCTACATGGTTTATGGAGACTTGAGTTAACATGAAATCGCATCCCTATATCGGTGCTCAATACTACTCCCAAAAATATACTTAGCTCATATGTTTTTAAAACAACTTCTTTCTTTGGTTTGAGATAACTACTCAAAACTTAGCTTAAAAGCTTTCTTGAAATTGATGTTCCCTTTCTTGCTCAAAACTCTTTTGGAAATCTCAGTTTTCTTTCATCTTAAATGTGAAAAACAATTTACTCTTGGGAATACTTAGTTCCCATATATCATTTTAAAGAAAATGAACTTTACTCTTACTCTTTACTCAACTTCAAAGCTTAAGTCTTAAAACAAAGTTTAAATATTTGTAAAAAACTTCTTAAAAATATGGTTCACGACGAATTATGAACTTGAACGACTGAATGCAAAGTTTTCAATAACCATAGATAGACTCAAATACTTAGAACTCAAGAACTTCAATGATACTACTAATTTCAAGAATGCTCAACTCAGAGGGTTCATGCGGAATTATGAGCATGAACTACTCAACTCAAGGACTCAAAGATACTTCTCATCTCAAGATTGATCGACTTATAATGTTCATACGGGATTATGGGCATGAACAACTCAACTCATGGACTTCATGCGTAATATGTAATAGTCCCATGATTACGATTATAATCTCGGAAGGGTTAGGAACTCGATACTCAAGACTTAGAACTTGAAGATACTATTTCTTTCAAAGATACTAAACTGATGGAGTTCATGTGGAAGTTATGGGAATGAACGACTTGACTCAAGGGTCAAAATATCAATAAGGAACTCAGGTATATAACATTTCTCATTCTCATACTTACTTCTCAAAACTTAACTCAAATCGATGGTGGATCTCAAAGGATTCACAATTGAACTCAAAAGCTTTCTTGAACTCTACTCTTAACTCTCTCTTGAATATGAATTATGAATTATGAATTCAAGAGTTATGTTTCATGGTATGAAGAATCTTGTAATGATAAAGTAGACTCATGAATACATTCTCCTCACTCGTACTCACTTGCTCGAGTCTTGAAATAAGTTATTAGAAACTGTAGAAGACTCCTCAAAAGGACTTAAAGGACTTTCTTAGAATTTTCGAAAGAATTCTCAAAAACTTAATTCTTAACTCTACCTTGAACTTGAATCATGGACTCAAGGTTGTGATTTGTGATAGGAAAAATTTCATGATGTTTAGGATTGATTTTAGATAGCTAAACATGAGAAAAGATCTAAAATTCACTGCTTGGAAACTAGTCCGTAACGCGGAGACGCATTAAAATAATTGGTCGTGAAATAACTTTTGAGGCAGAGAGGTCCGTGACCCCTTCGCGACGCGAAGACAATGTTATGAAATGGGGCGGCAGGTCCGCGACGCGGAGCCAAGTACCAAATTTGCTCGACTTTTCTCTTCTTCGTTTTCTAACCCCAAATTGCCTAAACTCGATTCTTTTGCTCAACTTTTCTTTAGATTCAGATAACCATCACATGTACACAAGAATCTAACTCAAAACTACTCTATAAATCAAAACAATAATCTCAAGAACTCCTAAATCTCAGCCCAATTCAAGAATGAAAGCAAATTCAAGAACACATATCAATTACATCAGATTTTCAAACTTTCTAGAACGAACTTAACGCTAAAATTTACATGATTGGCGTGTGGGTGAACAAACCCAACACTATGGAAGCTTACATACCTGAAAGAATTATCCTCTTAAAGCAACTTGAAGGAAAACCTTTAAAGGAGAACCCTAGCCTTAGTTTTTTCTTGAATTTCTTGAGCGTAGAATCTTTGGAGTGAATGAGAGGGTTTAGATTTAAGAAAACTGATTTTCTACACGTTTAGGACAATTTAGACGACCTCCTAAGGGTTTTTAGGACTAAAATACCCCTAAAGAAATAATTAAAACGAGCTGGGAGTGGGAAAGATCTTTCACCAGGCAGTGAGGTCCGTGTTGGCTTCGCGTCGCGGAGCTGCTGCCAGGTTTGCGCGACGTTAGTAAATCCATCATAACTTTTTACTCAGAGTCGTTTGGAGTCGACCCAAAACTCATACTTATCTTAACTTGCAAAATTTCAAATTTTGCTATTTCCAATTCGATTATTTTTGGAATTCAAGGTGCTACGTCTAGTGACCTTAACACTCAAGAAATTTTTAATTCCTTGCAAAAATCTCACTCACTACAAATAAGGGTTCGAGTCTTAGTTCAAAAAAATTCTGGGGTGTTACAATATATTTCTTTTTAGGTCATACATGCACGTATCAGAAAATAGTTAACTAAACGACTGAAAACATGATTTATATATTATAATAAGCTAATATAAATTATTAATTGTGCTTGTTATATTTTAAAAAAGTTTTAGGAATAATGCAATAGCCAACAAATAATTGATTTTAAAAAAAAATGCAAGGGTCAAATAAAATAAGATGCATTAAAAACATGTTAATAGAAAGGAAATTCATTACTTATCAATTATAAACATGAAAAAATAATCTTAATTTAGTCAAAATTTCAAAAATCGACAAGAAAAAAGTTTCTAAGATTGCATAATTTTATAAGTAGAAATAATTTTGTATTGATATATTTATATACAAAATATATTTAGCTACAATTTTTGGCATATCAATTACAATCATACATAGAAATCAGATATAATTTTAATTAAATAGTTATCTGAAAAATCGTTTTTGAAAAAATAATTCTTCAACAATTAACAAATGGGTAGTTATTACTCTAACTATTTACTGGTTACCTAAAAGCTAATATTACGTACATGAATTTTGACAAGAGAATTCTCTTCAGGTTCACCATTTTTACTAATCAGAAATTGTTTTCATGGTAAGTGAATCACTAAAAATGAAATTTATTAGTC